CCTGCTGAAGTACGCGTCGCGATCCAGACCATGAAGACGTCCACAGCTCCAGGACCAGACCATCTTTCCGTGGACCTGCTGAGAGCTGGAGGACACTGTCTACACGAGATTCTGGCGGCGCACTTAACATCTTATCTCCAGAAGGAAAGGATTCCCGACCAGTGGAGAACGTCAAGAACCGTTCTTCTCTTCAAGAAGGGCGAACGGGAAGATCTTCGAAACTATCGTCCGATATGCCTGTTGAGCGTGCTGTATAAGCTTTTCACCAAGATCATTCTCACTCGCATCTCAAGGACACTGGATGAAGCCCAACCTCCAGAACAAGCTGGATTTCGCAAGGGATTCAGTTGCATGGATCACATCCAGACGGTTTCGAGGGTCATAGAAGTTTGCCGGGAGTACCGATTACCTCTCGTCCTAACCTTCGTCGACTACGAGAAGGCATTTGACAGCGTCGAGTTCAACGCTATCCTGTCAGCGCTAGTCGACCAAGGAGTGAATCCGTCATATGTGAGGACATTAGCCAACTGCTACAAGGACTGCACTACAACGCTACAGCTGTTCCATCGCCCCCTGACCGTACCAATAGGGAAGGGAGTCCGACAAGGCGATACCATATCGCCTAAGCTGTTCACGGCGGCCTTGCAGTGGGTGATGAAATCACTGGACTGGAATGAGAGAGGTATACGAGTTGATGGGAGATTCCTCTCGAATCTTCGTTTCGCGGACGACATCGTTCTCTTCTCGAGCAGTATCAATGAAGCCGAGATGATGTTAAAGGAATTGAACGAAGTAGGGAAGACGATTGGACTGCGAATCAATCAGAAGAAGACCCAGTTCATGAAGAACGGCCTAATTGAGGATACGGAATTGAAGCTGGAAGATTCCCCAATCACGGAGACCTCTTCTTACGTGTATCTAGGACGTTCAATGAACATGCAGAACGACTTGAAAGAAGAACTTAACAGAAGGCGAAGAGCAGCTTGGGCCGCTTACGGGCCTTTGAAAGAAGCCACCGACCAACTAACGGACCCTGCGCTCCGAGCTCATCTGTTCGATTCAACCGTTCTCCCAGCGCTCTGCTACGCAGCCGAGACGTGGGCTGACACTGCTGCCACGTCGAAAGCTCTTCGTACCACCCACAGAGCGATGGAGCGGAGTCTTCTGAAGTTTAACCGACGTACGCAACATCTTGCCGGACTTCGCAGTTCTGATTTAAGAAGTATGTTCCGTCTACGAGACCCAGTCGAGTATGTTTCGAAGGTAAAGTACCGATGGGCCGGTCACATTGCAAGAAGAACAGACGACAGATGGACGTTAAGAACGCTGGAATGGATCCCTCGCGATGTAAAACGCCCTCGAGGAAGACCCCCCACCAGGTGGGCAGATGTGTTCGTGGAAAGGATGGACCAGCTGAAAAACCAGCTGGAAGCGAATTTTACACCTAGATCTCGTGATCTTCGCCATCTTCACTGAACAAGAAAAGTGTAAATATGTACTACAGTGGCGTACCCAGGATTTCCGCTCGAGGGGGGGGGGACAAAGTAGGGTTAGCCACGCACTCCAAAAAAAATTTAAGGGGTGCTTCTTAGAATTTTTGCGGGGCCCCAACTCTTAAAATCTGGGAAAAGGGTGCGTGGCGCCAGCCACGCCTCCGAAAAAAAATTTTTACAAGGCCAGTTTGAATTTTTAAAAATTTTTCAAAAATAATTTCAATTATTTACACGTGTAAGCAAGTCACTTGCACATCTTTATAACCCATATACTTCCTGATACTTGCTATTAGCACACTTCCCGGAACCATACTTAATCCCTGTTAAATTTTCTTCATATGTAAACTTCTCATAATCTCACGATAGTCAGTTGTGGTCATATTGCTCATGATATTTTCGTTGAATCATAGAGCATGAAACAAAACTTTTAGGCAAGAATATAAACAAATTCAGCTTGATTTGTTTCACATATGTATTAGCATGAAAAAAGCGCACAAGAGTTGAACAGTCCTCGTACTGCTCCAAGCCAAGCCTACAAAAAGGCCTACAAAATCTCAGCTAAAGACCCGTCTAGCGTTTAAAAATGTTCACAGAGCCATCCTTGGACATGAATGGAGGGATCAGCCACAATTCCTTAAGGCAATCTTGGTCGTAGAGCAGAGAAGTAGTTTAACGGCTGTGGCGGTTTTATCAGGTGGATGACGCATATGCTAGATCAGTGGTCTATTCACTTCTTGTTTCTCTATTCTAACTTCTTTGAGTAACAGTAGTTTTCAAATTATTTCAAAGGAGAACGCTGCAGATACCATTCCCAATTATAGAAAACGAAATTTACAATTACATCGCACGCAGAGACTGAACGTTCTTCTCGCCCCTAAGATACTATGGGTTTAGAGGGAGGGCAGAAAGTAAGAGGAATGAAACGACGCTTGATCGGAGATATAATAGCGTCCGCAATGGCATCCTTTTTCTGCATGCGACAAATCGAGTATACATGCTAGATGTTGCTGAAGAGGGAATAAGGATGCCGTCCGCCGCCGCGCGTTGTGTGCAGACTTATTAATTCCGCTCCCACATGCAAACCATTTGCAATTACACGCATTTCCACCCCTCCCCCCCCCCCTCCGACGTACATGCAAAGTCGCCCTCCCCCCATTCCCCTCACCCTCGACGCGACGTTTTGTAACCTCCTAAATTACTTGAAACGCCCTTCACCCTGGAGGGGCTGCAAACTGTGACGCCCTTCACCCCGGAGTAGTCACTCTCATCTTATCGCACCTATGTTGCAAAGCGAAGCTCAGTATAATTTCGTTCATTAAAGCTTCCGTAAATTTTGATGTTTCCGCATACATATGTAAATGACCAGAGATTGTGGACACCATTTATGAAAGCTTGGAAGTATATATCGAGAAGAGTAACGGAGATAGAACGCCATCCTGTAAAACACTCAAGCATGCAAGTACATTTGACAAGCGATATCCCACCCTGATCGTCATGCCTCGACTCAAGTAGGATCTAAGCAACTCCAAAAAAGCCTATTAGGCAAATCGTTCCCGTTTTTGTAAAATAATTTATGATCGACTTTCATGTACTTAGGTTGTAGTCCTTCTTTGTATAACATTTTTGCTGATGTCCTTAGAGTTTCCTTTTTAGCAGCACCATGTCAGGCTTCCCACTCCATTTTTATTGACTGCAAAAAACCTTTTTTCTCAGAATTACCACTTTGTTTGGCAAACAATATAGAAGGGAGAACAAATCCGTGCTATTCGCAAATAGATGTTCAAATGACTGCAACAGAGAGGTTAATGAATGAAAATAAGTATTATTGAGAGAAGCCTGTTGAAAACAATTTTTGAGAGCTTTCATTGCTGTTTTCTTGCGTTTTAACGCCGCTTCCCTTTACTACACTATCAAGTGTATAAGTCGCAGGGATTTTTCTCTAATATCGACGAGCCTAAACACGCCAAATGAGCGACCAAATATATATAGCGCGCTGCGTAATGCCTACGAGAATTGTGCGACATAAGAAGCGCTTTGCGAAATACAGAGAAGCGGCTGAGCAGCTCCCTGTGAAATGCTGGGAGCTTGGAGTGGTTTTTGTTCAAAAAGAAGTTCTAAGTACATTAGCAAAAATGGTGCACACAAAAGGACTGAAACCCAAAATCAACCGGCCCCGCCGCAGTCCAAAACCCTGTCACTAGGTCACACGCTGCCGTTGGTTTTGTGTGCGAAGCTCGCATTTATCGTCGGTCGTCCGAACACGAGGGATACGGTGTACCCATGCTACTATAGATCTCGTTTCGAAAGACCACGGTCACCTGGTATTCTTCCCTTGTTAGCCATTGCGCATGTGAACACCTTATATGCATACCCACTTAAGAAGTTTACGTACCCAGTTTTGCCTGGAGTAAACCTTCGAAGCTGCACGTGACCAAAATGTGCTGTTTACCACGAAGAGATAATCAAACAGCATTTACACTTGAACAAATCAGTCTTAGAGTTCGGGGTGTACCAAGCTCCATGTTTTCTCCTCTAATCTTCACCAAAATGCTTGCAGCAAAAGAGTCCCTGCCTACACCTTGTCCGCTGCAAAAAAAAGTTTTTTTTTCACAGTACCTAGCTAAGGCCGAAGAAGGAGTGCAAGATGAAAAAAAACGTATTGTTCAGTGGCGTACCCAGGATTTCGGCTCGGGGGGGGGGGCGCGACAAAAAAATTTTTCTAAAGAAGGTGCGTGGCGTCAGCCACGCCCCGAAAAAAAATTTTTTACAAAGCTAATTTGGATTTTTAAAAATTTTTAAAAATTATTTCAATTATTTACAAAAATAAACAAGTCACTTGCACATTTTTACAACCCATATAAGTAACTTTCAAAAATTTCGCGACCCATTCTCGGGGGGGGGGGGGGCGCGCGCCCCCCCCCCCCTTCGGTACGCCACTGGTATTGTTCTATCTTCCCAGCGATACCCAAGATAATGAAGAGACGAAACATGCATTCGGGCTGTAATGAAGGGGGTCCTGCAAGAAAGGATGCCAAAAAATGCGGTATTTGAAGATGGCAAGGTGCACAAACTTGGAGATTACGAAGTTATCCAAGAAGTAAAAGATCCGATACGAGAAAGTTCTTGTAGAATTACATACAGTGGAGTAGATTTTCTGCATACCTAATATAGTGTGCTCGCATTGCAGGTGAAATGCAGTAAAATTTGTGCGTGAATATGCACCCGTGCCATAATGCCGGTATTTTGCTCGAGCAATTGGGCAGCGTCTCAAATACAGCCATTTGTTTTACCGCATTTCACCTGCAGTGCGAGCACAATATATAGAGCGGAAAATCTATTCGACTCTAATTGAAGAAAATTACGAACCGGTTTTGTTTTACAAATTATGTATTTAGACGAAAGTACGATGGTCAACAAGAACAGGATTAACAAAGAGCTAGCAGATAACGAAGACTTTACATTAAAAGATTTTTCGTTATGGAGGTGGTCGAGAACAGCAAAACTTACCCCTCAGTCGTTATATTTGCTTCCTTCATATTGAACAAGGCGTATGTTCCCACTGGATGGACTATGACTGCTTGAAACATTGCCTTCGCTTCTGGACTGTCGATGCAAGGGAACAGACTTCGTGCCTCCTGAGGTTGCAGATGTGTGGCGGTCTTAAACCTGTAACCTGTGCAGGTCGGAGTTATAGCCAGCACTTGGACGAACTACGTTTACCTATTCTCTGGTCCATGCTTATAAGGTGCAGTGAATATCCCGGCATACTTTGGATTATTTATGTCTGTGTGAAATTCCAAAGCGAGAGTGTAATTGTGGTTTGGCAGAAGATCACGTGACGAGTAGACGTCCAGAAGGTGAGGGAAGTTGTTAGAGATCTCAAGCACGTCAGCGTTGTATTGAGAGACTGTTTCAGAATGACCAACCTCGTATATAGGGATTTCTTTCGTGTCCATGTAGAGACGTATAACCGTTATATTCAAATTTTTTGTGTTCATTTGCACCCGTTTAGTGATATAGCGTACTGTGAATTCCATATGTGTCATTCCGTCCAGGGTGAAATCTCGAGTACCAAACGTGACGCCACTGAAATTATCGTCGTATATGTACTCATTTTTAACCGTCATAGATTCTTTGCTTGCTTTGATGGAAGCAATTGTTTGCAACTGACTTCATAACGCGAGCTTCAATACTTGCGACAAAAATCAAGCTTGCTCTATCTCAAACATTACATCAACTTCGGCTATAATTGAATTTGGCTTCTGTCAAGGTAGCGTCAAGTAGCTTCCGCCAGTAGGCTCGTTGACACTTGAATAACATTGAACTATAAATTTTGGAGACAGTGACATTTTTGATCCTTCTTGTCACTGAAAACACCCTTTCACAGAGGGTTCGCTTTCTGATGTGTATAGTGCCATAATCGCCGGTGTTTAGAAAAAATTCAGCTTACTACCATTCTAGTATTTCTCAACCTGCAATTCAAAATCAGCTGGTTTACTGTTCATCCAGTGTTTTTATGATACTTCTTAAGCGTACAATGATTAAGTGAAGAAAAGAAGAAAGATATAAAAAGTAATCTCAACACTTTCGTTCCAGTATAAGAGTCTACGGTTCGTATATTATACTGTGTCACATTTACTGCAAGCGAAATGCGTCCATACAAATCAGAATGCACAAGTAATAATCGTCCAGAAAAAGAAGGATTGAGCACAAGGTGAAGACTCAAAGCCATTAGTATTTGAACTCAGGTTCGAGAGTCAGTCTAATACTACCACACCAACATGACGTGATGTCGAAATTACATCGTCCAGAATTGGTTACCTTCTACTTTTCCAACTCTAACTCAATATCTTTGTACATTATATAATGAGATCTCACAGAATAAAAGCCATAAGATTGACTCCTTTCCCCTCGGAATGAGTGGCTCCTTTTCCATCAGAACGACTACACTAAGAATGATAGGAGTGGATAAAAATATTGAGTTGTTGCAAGAATTTTCCCGCTTTCAAAGCTGGAGCAGCGACTCGGATTTGCCCGAATTTCTTCATTAGAAATTTTTGCAAATTCCGGGAAGAAACACTTTTTTAGCCCTTTATAAGTTGCAAGAAAAGTAACACTTTAAAACTGTTATGACATCGCTGCAGTAAATCAAAGAATTTTCTCATTTATTTTTGATTTGGAAAGTACCAGGCGCTTCTTCGTGCACAAAGCGAAAAGCTTGCAAGTGCATTGCGCTTATTCTTATGCGAGTTATAAGGACTACAACGACAGGTCATGCTTATGCCGGGTGGGGTGAAAATTTTTGGGTTGAAAATTTTAGTTTTATCTCGATATACATTATGTAGCACAGGTTGCAAATGACAAACATGTTTGAAAGAATTGGCTCTTGCTGCGGATGTCTTAAACAAGACAGAAGAAAAAACATTCTACAATTGCTTTATTGTTCTTGTCCTATTAAGATATGCAATTGCAGACAGAACAGAGATTTCTAGAGTTTTTCTTGTAAGTAGCGGTTCAAAGAAAAGGTAGAAAAACAGGTAGAAGTTTAAAAACTCAGTAAAAATTACATTGCTATCGGCACTGAATCTTCTTTATGTCGAAGATTCTGAGAGTCGATGACTACATCTTCTACAAGCTCTATGTATATCTTGGCTTTTAATATTTGTGCATGCTTTGTAATCAATAAAAGGCATATTTTCGTATAAAATTCACTTATCTACGGTCCATTACATAATCAACTCCCGGTGGCTAAAGCGGACGACAAATTTTCGGCACGTGCAAATGCATTTGAATTTTTCCTTCACAAGAAAAACTTTCTTCACATGCGAATAGAACAAAAAAGTTATTAGATCTCGAATAAACGGTCTAGCCTCCAAGTCACCAGCGTTTTTCTCACAATTGCAGTATTCTGCAGTGATACTTGTCAACTCAACTTCATAACGCTTTCATGGCAGACACCACGTAGTGCATGTCAATCATAGAGTTTGACTTGATTTACGCTGATCCTACAATACTGGATGGGAAGTGTGCAACTTTTGCAAGTTTGCTATAAACGTTAAAATAAGTCTAGACAATAACTATGGCGCGGAGAAGAGTACATAAACATGACTCAGAGCTCTCTGACATTCTCATTTCTAAGTGTATAAAGATGCAAACTTGAACTCACGGCCGCCATGGCAGATAGATCTTCAGCCGGACACGGTAAAGCAATGGTCGCACAATGTCAGGGATTTGATGTCTGTGGAATGGCTGACCAGCGAATCGGTACGGATCAGCAACAGTAGTTGAGATCTCTTTCAAGGACGGGGATGCAGACGGCTGCAGCCGCGCCGTGTTGTGCATCGTCTCGGTGAGCATCGGCGGTGGGAACGTGATGAGGACGTAGACGAGAACAAAAATCATACAGAGCAAGATGGCGGCCAGAGCCAGCGGTCGCTTGGCGTCGCCAGTAGAGTCAGATGGCGGCATCGCTCATCGGGACATCCCCAGCAATCGACCTTCAGCAGCACCGTCGAGCCGCTGCCGACAACTCGCTGCAGAAGCGCATTCGACAGGACCTCGTAAGTGAGTTGTCTGCGTATGAGTGTGTCTGAGTGCTCGGCTCCACCGAGCTGACGCCGATTTGGTAATGAACTTAGCAGTTGATGGACGGCTCAGCCGCGAGCACACTTCTAATTATTGCTCTGCAGTCTAGATCGCAATCGAGTATCAGAGTGCAAAAACCTTTCCGTACAAGCGCATCGGAAGCAGATGTAAAAGTGGTGGTAGACGCAAGAGCCGCTGAAAACTAACGATGACACTTGGAAAGACAATCAAGCAGATTGACATTGATCGATGAACTTCAGTCAATGGACCGATTTTCAATGAAATGCAGCGGTTGACCAATACGGTCCGATTTCCATATGAGGAAAGAATGATAAAAAGGTGAAGGAATGATTTCGATCAGCTCATTTGAATGAAAATTTGTATAATATTCAGAGCCTTTCAAAAGAGGGACAAGGATCCCGATGGTTGGGTTCGGCACAGTAATTTCAAGGAACCTTCGAGGATTTGTATAAAAATATTGACTTGAGAAATTGAATAAGAAAAGAGATGCACACGTCTTCTAACCGTTTTCTAAATCTAATGAAATCAAAATCCCCGTCCTGTGCTCTTTTTTCGAACTCAGCGACTTTGCACCGTCGAAAAGAGATAGACAGATTACTTGTGCTATCGGCTGTCTAGAATTCAATGCATAATTCTGCTTTGAATCAGCAAGCCTCGGTTTCTCCTTCTCCATTTATCTCTAGTATCAGAACTTAAAAGGAAGAGACCAAGATGTCACTAATAAGGGAAGGATCTACTTTTTCTAATGAAATCAATGCCTGGCAAACCGACGCCACTGAAGGTTAAGATGTTTTGAAAAGGGTGCAACTGAAGTTTTGGTTCAACGTAGTATAAGTATCCGAAAGAAGGCTTCAAATAGGGCAGGGTTCAACTTAGAACTGAGCAAACGCCTATCGTCATCACTGCAGGATTGCAAATGAACTTTCAGCACATGGTTGTTATTACAAATCATCTGCTAATTTTGAAAAATTCCAAATCGTGTAATGACTTTATGCCAGGATTTTGAACTCGTGAAGCCATTACATGGAAATTAGATTTTTTTGATTATTGGGAAACAACTACTACAGTATTCCTGTGGTATCTTCCAATTGCAATATAATAAAGCGAAAATTTCGTGTATTATGGCTATGCAGATTAACTTTTTTGGAGCAATGTATGCCCTCATTTGCACAGAACCCTTTTTAAAAAATTACCGTAATGACACAATGAAAAAGGACCGGTTTTTCGTTTTTATTACAAATAGACGCTGAAGATAGCCCTACAATATGATAATTCAAGCTCTGCAAAGCCTCCCTACAAGAGAGTTATCGATCAAACTTTTTACGCTTTTTCGGGACACCCTATGTATAAGAAAATACATGCATTTAGAGTGGATATTTTTGAGGGGGGGGGGGGGGGAGGATTGGCATAAATTTTTTCCGAAAAGGCGTGTTTTGCCACGCTCATCAAATTTTTGGCGTCGTCTCCAGACTTCAACAAGTTTTTAACTAAATTTTGAAAAGGAGCGTGGTACTAACCAACCTTGCAAAAAAGTCAAAAAAAACGTATTCTACATATTTAGTCAAAGCGCTGTGGTTGCTTAAGTCACATTCACTATTAGCTTATGTATACTACCATAACTGCTCTAAACAATTTATTTCCCCATTTCGTTACAATGTGAAGCTCGCGTGAGAGTTGTATCCATGAAAAGGACTTCAAACTTGCTCGTATAAAACTGAGGATGACTGTTTACGAGTATTGAAAAGTGGATATAATAACTTCTTGATCTTATTATACCTACTTTTTGACACATCCAGAAGGGAACAAGAACGATAAATGCGTTCGGAATTTACCCTAACTAGGCAATAATACAGTAAAGCGCAAAACACTACTACCAGAAAATTACAATGAAGTGAAAAGTTTATGTATGGATATGCTGATTTAAGCTTTTAAAAGGGTTTCCAGCTTTTTGTGATCATTTTATTGGGCGATATATGCATACAGTTGCACAAAAAGCTCTAAATGAACTCCGAGCCTTACATCAGCATCAATAGAAATGCTAAGGGAATTGATAGTACTTTTTTGAATAGATGGCTAAACTATCTGTTACAGACTACATAAACTTTCTATTAGAGGCGCAGGAAGGGGTCAGTATACCGCAGTCAAATTGCGTCTGCGATAGTTGGGAGACGCGGGAGAGAAAGGCGAGATGTTGCATGTCGAACCATATTGAAGTCACTGGTTTCCTTGCTTCACCTCGCACTTTTTCGAAGTGAAGAGGCCGATGAGATTCATATTTGAAGATTTCTGATTAAGGTACTGAAGTGATCCGTGATGATGTATAAAGATACAATCCAAAAGCATAATCAATTCAGCTCGGCGAAGTGTATTTTCTGATATGTAGGTTTGGGTACTGTATTTGGTCAAATTTCACGGATCTTGTCAGATTTTTACCCATGGTAGGTCACTCAGAATCTTACATTGCACAACGAGAAGTTACCTTAAGCAAAATTCTTGGAAATATGCGTAAAATCTGAACAATAGGGTGCCC